CTCCATACAACTTCAGGATTTTTTGTTTTTTTTTGAAAATGCTTTTGTTCTTGTTGTTTGCTGTGTGCGAGATACACACGCAGGAAAATTTTGTAGTTTCGTTTTCGAAACTGAGAGTTTTCTTCATCCAATCTTACTGTGATGAATAAAAAATTTTCCAAGATACAAAAGATAACCAACTAGTTCATGAGAATTTGCAAGGACAGCACGATTTTGTGATTGTATGTGTGGTGTGGGCATGCGTGACAGCTGAATTTGAAATCTTTAGCTCACATATGGACAGGGGACATCAGCGCAAGATTTCATCTTTAAATTTTCTGGTTCTCGAAATCACTTTACAACAACGAGATTTGCATACTTATTCAGTGCCCATGCGTGAGATCCAGACGTACGTGGACGATGGTTTTAGATTGTAAATATGTCACATATGCTGATACACGTAAAGAATGTATGATTTCAGGATTCCTAGCAAACATAATGATATCTTTTCCGGACTAATGCATTTAAAATGCATAGGACATATCATTTTTGCAGGCGTTCGAAATCTGTTCAATTTGTTGTCGTAGCGACAATACATCGGCCAGTGACTTTGCATCCAGTCTATTTAACTCAATCGTCAAACGGTTCTTCAGTGCCTTGGAACGTTGGGATGTTTCCTAAAATATTTAGATTGACTAAAAATTAATCAAATTGAAGACGATTTTTAGGCGTTTTGTATATCACGCAAATGCAGAAATGCGTTTGGTAGGAGGCTGTCTGTATATGTGCTCGCACTTTTTGTCATCCACTTTCAACTCAAGAACCAGAAAAGCTAGAAAGCTGAAACTTCGGGAGTATGTACTCATCCATGTACGACTCTCTCATTTTAATATTATCATTCGCGTGCGCCTAGATTTAATCTAACAAGATAGCGCATCACCTTAGCTCACTTCCATTATTCGTTTTATATATAAAAAATTAATATAAAAAATGATTACTTGCAAGGGCCAAGCAACAAGGAGCGCGCATAGAGCAGCAGAATTGATATAACGAGCTATATCGAGGGATAAAATACGGCGGCAGATATTTCGGCAGCAAGATTCTTCTTTTTTCCTCACTTTGCAGCAACTGCCGCTCTGATAAGTTTTTTCTTCCTGAGAACCGCGTGGAAATAGCTGAAAGTGAATAACAAGAACATTGTATAACATTAATATAAATAAATGTAATTCGACGTCAGCTGCTTTTTTGGCCACAGTGAACTGAACATCTGTATAGTCATCGAAGCAAAACGATGCTGCTTTCCAGAGTGACGGTGGATGGATGGCGTTGCCGGAAATGGATGCAGTCGGCGAACAGTAGTCACTTGCCTTAGTACATTTTCCACTAGCCTGAATTACCCTTGCTCAAAGCTCTCCTTGGATATTGGTACGTCTGTTTCGATGACAGATTTCCAGTCTGAGTAGTAACATCTGACCAAGAAATCCACCCGTTGCGTTAAAAAACAGCTTATGCCAGTAAACAGCACAACTGTTTCGGCAATGAGCGAGCGTCCTAGCTACTGTCAGACAGTGAAATAGTGGAATAGAAGAAAGAGGGATTGGACTAAGTGTCATGTGTAAGAAGACATGTTAGGATGCGGTCTGTGTTTCATCCTTTAGCTGTAAACATAGGTCGAACTTTGCGTGAAGGTAGGAGCAGAAATGATCAGTACAGCCTCCTATTCGCCATGCGCTGAAAAGTCATATAACTAATTTGCAAGACGGATATGCGAAAGGAACAAAAAAGAGGAAGAGAACAGAGCGAGTAAGGGAGTAGAGGAACACGAGGAAGTTAATCTACGGTACGAGCAATCACTGTCCATCAATTACAAGCCAGTATTTTTTATGAGAATAATGTGTTGATTAGGTTTTCAGTTCCTGAATCATCAGGAAAGATATATTTGCTGAGTATAGATAGGTTTCTGAAGCAAAATCTGAGGATGAAACGTTCTATTTTAGCAATATCGCACCCTCTTCATCTGTAGGTGCTTATAAGTCGTTTAGCCCAGTGAAGTACAAAGAGGAAGTGAAATCCTAGCCTAAGCAGATTCAAACACTAGCACTTGAAAACTAATGCTTTTTGTTAGATCTCATTTGTCATCCACTTTTTTCGCATTCACTTTTTTTTCATTCATTAGAGATCTCAAATGCCACACCTATAGGTACATTGTTCCATTAGCTTCTCGCCTTAGGCAAGCATTTGGCTGCTCTGAATATCATAAAATATCGAGATCTCGAAACCTGTGAGCAGTCGCAGCATGCAACATAGCCACCAAAAATAGCGGCAAACATAGCACAGACTGATTTGAACTCTTCTTCCTGATCGTCCAGAGTACTTTCAGCGAGGAACAGTTCCCACTGGCGTAGTCGAGGCGCGAACTACAACCAAAAATAGTTCAGATTTGATCGGTGCGTTTTCATCAGGACATTTAAATGTGCACTTTTAGCGCCCAGAAAAACCTGTGCTACATTGGGACTGAGAGTACTGAGTGCAATTCAGCCAAATCCCAAATATTCAGGAAATCGGTAGATCTGAGGCACCGGGCAACAGAGGAAAACAGCAGACTGAAGAAACGAAAAATGTAAATTTCGGAATATCCTGCCAGAGAGTATTTGTAAGGCGTCGCAAAATGCATGACACAGAAATCATTTCACGGTTCACTTTATTCCGTTACTTACTACTTGCCAGGTGCATATTTCCTCAATAGTAAAATAGATTTCTCTACTTTCTTTTTAGATTCACGGATTTTTTGCCCGATTATTGCACCGAATATTCCGCATGAACAAAGCTCAGGCTGCGCATCGTTTGCCTCCGAAATATCCTCGAAAGGGGGAACAAAGAGAGTGTTGCCCGATGGCGGTTGCTCTTAGTAAAAAAATTAGGGGTCTGGTGAAACACATGCGAATTCAAGTTGCTGTGTGGAAATAAGAAAAAATCGTTCAGAAATATGACTTAAATAGGGCAGTCAGGGGAAGAAAGACGAGACTGACGAAGGGTAAAAGAGAGGGCAGGACGCTATTTGGTCACTTTTAATCCGCAATGAGCAAAAAAACTAGGTGCATTAAGATGGTACTACAATAAATGAATGAATGTGTGATATGAGAACCTGTGTTTTGTAAGCATCAACTTCCGGTTCCAAGCCAAACAGAACCAGCGGACGTATGTCTGGACGCAATTTTAGTGTTAAATAACCTGCAAATTTTCATTTTTTAGCGTTAAGTGCAACTTGGCTTAATAATTATGATATGCCTCCTCGTAGACTTTTGTTAAGACTTTTATGAATAAAGCGATCCTGTGGCTAAAATTTCGATTAAGTAAATGATGAATAAATGTAGATAAGCTAACAAGAAACGCAAACAGAAACAGTATTATAAATGGAGATACAAAAAATTGCGGTTTTATATGTAAATATTTGTTTACACGCAAAATCGCAATTTTTATGCGTTTTTGCTGTGCAGCGCTATAGCAGCGCTATGGTGCTGTTACAGCCAACAAAGACGCATATTGTCGAGAGGCTGTCTGTGTATGTTCGGAAAACGAGTGCATTTTGTCACCCACTTTCATCTCAGCAACCAGAAAAGCTGGGAATGTTCCTACCCCGTGTGTCATCCTCCCGTTTTAAGATCTTCCTCCATACGCGCCTAAACCCCGCGTACGGGACCCCCAAAGAAATATGTTGGCGGAAAACGATTTCGCAAACCAGGCAGCGTAGAATGCTGCAACTTTGCAGGGATACTCTATGCACGTGCGAGATAAAAATTTTAAACTCAGCCCTCTACCTCCCCAGCCACAGCCTCAAGCAGCTCTTGAACCCAAAAATCGTTAGCAATTCGGACCTGAACCGCAATCGTATATGCAAATGAACGTGTATTTTTAGTAACTCGGACCTGAACCGCAATTGTGTATGCAAATGAACATGGATTTTTTGAAAAACGGCCGTTCGAAAAAAACTTAAAAAAAAAATTTTTCAATAAACTGAAAATTTGCATATTTTCAAAAATTTGTTCGCAGCTCGGGCCTTAACCGCAATCGTATATGTAAATGAACGTGCATTTTTTGACAAACGATCACTCGAGAAATACTTCCACTTTTTAGTGAACTGGAAATTTGCATTTTTTCAAAAAATTTAGATTTGTCATTTTTTCACAAAGCGAGCATTTACCGAAAAAACGACCAGACTTCATGCAAAAAATCGATAATCATGCACCCGGGTA